TGAGTTAAATAACTGGTTGATTGATTGATTGGTTGATTGAATGGATGATTCGTTTATTGATTAATCTGAGTTAATTCTTCCTTTTTATGTCTGCTTGTTTGATAGGTGATTGATTTATTGGATAAATAACTGGTTTATTGATTAAGGGCCTAAATGTACAGTTGATCGTTGGGCATATTCAATGTGACCGTCTGTTAATTATCGACTATTCGACCGATTGATCGGTTAATTAAACGATTGATTGATGTAAAGTTGGATGATTGAATAGGTAATTGATGTATTAATCGAATCATTTCTTGATCGGGGAGTCGATTAGGTCGGTTGATACATGAGTGGTCAATTGATTGATGGAGTGATTGGGGGAAGTCATACTAATATGAAAATGTATTTTAGTTAGAATTGTATATGACTAAGAAGAATTTGAAATTTGGCACGATATTTGAATAACTTATACCAAACATCATTGATTGCAATCAATCAATACAGTTAGAACGTATCCTGTCTATGGATGGGCCATTCGTAGATGAAGCAAGAAAGTACTCAATAAAAACCGTAAATCCGTCAACAATCAACCACTCAGTCAGCCGGACAATACATGAACAGATCTAATCAATCACCAACAAGCAAGTCAAATCATATCAACGAATTAATCAAAAAATCATTCAATCTATCAATCAATCAAGAAATCAGTCAAACAATGAATTGACAAATCATTCATTCAACCAATGAACAAAGTAGTCAATCAATTAATCAGACAATCAGACAATCAATCAATAATTCATTCAATCGATCGACAAATCAATCAATCAATGACCAAATCAGTCAACCAACCATGTAAACTGGAATTTGGAACCAATCAATCAACAAACCATCCAAACGTGCCAAACAAGCAATTAATCAGCCAATTCAATTTGAAAATCCTTTATTAATCGGCTTTAATCTATTCTGAATAAATACTTTCTGTTAACGAATTCATCAATCGATCGGCCAGTCAATACATTAATCATTCAGTCACCAAATCCAATCAACAATTCAATCAATCTACTAGGAATCAATTAATCAGTCCACTCTTACAATTCCCTACTTTATCAGTCAAATTCTGCTGGTAAAAACAAATTATACAATTCAGTTAGAATGCCATTTAAATCACATTTAAATGGGGGGGGGGGGTCAGGGAATCAGTCCAAGCTAATCCATTTAGGAGAATATTAAATTTTTACAGTCGCACAAATGCGTCAAAAACGTCCTCTTCTCCCAAACGTTGTTGTTTCTCATATTGGTGACAAAGTGTTAGATGGCAAAGATTAGATTTGATTTCATTTATTTATTTCCGTTTCTATATGAACATGATAGGCAAGTACAAAGTACCTGACAATTCATCAATTGACATGAATGATTTTTACAATTCAGTTAAAGCCCCACTGTCCTACGTGTAGTTACTTGATCCCTCTATATAGAAAACTTCCCCAATCGGTGCATGTTGGTCCCTGTTACACCCACAAATGTAATAACTCCCACAAATGTAATAACGCCCACAAATGTAATAACACTTTACCCACAAATGTAACAACACCCACAAATGTAATAACACTTTACCCACAAATGTAATAATTTCACCCACAAATGTAATAACCACTTTACCCACAAATGTAATAAATTTGAAGTGATATTTTGAATCACCCACAAATGTAATAATGACTTTACCCACAAATGTAATAAATTTGAAGGGATATTTTGTCGAATTTAAAACTAAAACCCTGTAATAAAGCATGGGTATAGCGCGCAGTCTTTGCTCTAGACCCGGTTATTTCAACAACAAAAAAAATCTTCAAAACTAAGACCCCACCATTTTCCAAACTAAGACCCGGTGATAGAGCATGGGTTTAGAGCGTAGTTTTTCTTCCAGACCCGGTTATTTCAAAACTTTTTAAAAATCTTCAAAACTAAGACCCCATCATCTTATTCCTGTGAAGGAACATAAGTATTGAGCGTAGTCTTTCTTCCAGACCCGGTTTTTCAAAAGTTTAAAAACAAACAAAAAGCAAAACAAAACAAAACAACAAAAAAACCTTTTAAACTAAGACCCCTCCATCTTCCAAATTAAGACCCGGTAATAAAGCATGGGATTAGAACGTAGTCTTTACTTCAGACTCGGTTATTTAAAAAAAAAAATCTTCAAACTAAGACCTCACCATCTCATTCCTGTGGAATAACATGGGTATAGAGCGTAGTCTTTCCTCCAGTCCCGGTTATTTCAAAGGAATTAGAAATTTAAACAAATCTTCGAAACTAAGACCCACCATCTTATTCCTCTTATTTTTTCATTTAAAAATAAATTACATTATTACATATGTGGATACAACACGTCACAAATAAATGATTGGTCGGCGGTCACACGAACTGACGAATCAGTCAAAATGGTCCATATATATAACACACAGAGGAGGAACCGATTCGATGGTTCGTTGACCGTCGACGATTTTTTTAATCATGTAAATATTCTAACGCCCACAAATATCCTGAAATTCAATGTTCGTAGAAAAAAAAGTAATTGAATAAGTGACCTGAAATATATTGACGCCGATTGTTTTATGCATGTGATTATGAAACATGTTCACGATATGTAATATATATTTATATAATTATATGTACGCTATTAGTGACATTAAAACGTTCGATTGCGATGTTATATTTTCATGAGTGCGTGAATGAATTACCTTTCTTATCAATTCATATCAATTACTTATACTGAAGACTACCAATTGGTACGCGGTACACGGTGTGAATTCATGAGAACGAAATTTATTCAAAGGCGAATACAAACAAAACACATTTATATTACAGTTTTCCCTACTTCTGAAACACTCAAGCAGCTATATAAACAAGAACAAGTCTGAAATGATAATCGGTTAACAAGCAAATAACAACGCATACTTTCATATAACAAATCATAAATAGCTGTATAACGAGATCGCGCGAAAAATATTTGCATGTTTTTAATGAACGATTGCAGAACCCTTTGACTGATAAAATATCTATATACTCTCTCAATCAATGTGAGTAAATTGCAGAGGTTATGATTTTATAGTATTAAATGCAATGATGGATACATAGATTTTGTAAGATAGAAAGTATTTTATTCCAAACGAATGAAGAGGTTGTTTCATTAATATACAGACGGTAACAGAACCAAAATAATTATTACGTATAAAAAGGTGGAGTAACTCACATGTCTTTTACAAGCAAACAAGGTTATAATTTGGGCAATATTGAACCTGATAACATCAACTGAACTTGATATAAAACGCAAACAACCTAACACGTGACAATTCTTCTAAGCTAGGAAAAACAAGAGAACAAGATGCCGAAATACTAAAATACCTGGCTTTCTGTAACTTAATATTCGTCCATATAAAACTACTTAATACGTACAACTCCAAAAGTTTGTCAGTAATACTTTTCAGATGCTTTAAGAGTATACGGAGTTGAAATGAAGTATGACTGATCAAAAGGAAATAATTATTTTAATTATACAATGAGATAAAGAATATTAACAACCTTTACCTGATCTCTGTTGAAGAGCTTGGCGTTTGCCACTTTTGAGCCATTTTTCAACCTTAAACAGAAATCTGATTAAAGACATAAATGCAAAACAAACCATACACTTGTATAAGGATTATAAATACATGAATATGTTAGTGATTTTAAAAAGCAATAGAGGCATGTAGTTTCCAGATATTTACTTTAACACTGAGATAACATAATATGTTATGATATATAGTTCACTCATATGACACATAAATTTTCTTTACAACGGTTTATACACTTATAGTGTAGACAAAGAATCACACATGAATGGTCTGTAATATACTACGTGAGGATTAACCCGTTTAATGCATAATTGTTAGTTTGTTTTTGGTTGTGCGATCTTTTTCAATGAAGATCTTCTAAACACAGAAAAAACTAAAGTTTATCCTAATCGAAATAACTTTGTTGTAACTTTAATAGTGTTCTGACACTGCTCATTACCATGAAGCTACAACCACGAGAGAGGGGACTCCCCCGAAAGAAATGTCAGACAAAATCTCTAATCGAGAATCTAGGACACCTACCCCCCTGCCAACTACCCCCAGCTAACTACCCCCTAGAATGATAACGCCCCCCCCCCCCAGCTAACTACCCCTGGACATCTACCCCGGACAATACCCCCGGACATCTACCCCAAGTCAAGTACCCCCCGGACATCTACCCGCCCCCCCCCCCCGTCAAATACCCCCGGAAATTCCCCCCCCCCCACCAATCCAACTTTCCCCTTCCAACTACCCCCAGCCAACTACCCCCACGCTGAAAACTGCCCCCGGACATCTACCCCCATCCAACTACCCCCGGGCAACTACCCCCAACTACCTTAATTTGCTTGGGGTAGATGTCCGGGGGGGGTAGTTGGAGGGGGAGTTAGTTGTCCAGGGGGAGGGGTAGTTGGATGGGGTAAGATGTCCGGAGGTAGATGTCCGGGGAGGGGGTAGTTGACTGGGGGTAGATGTCCGGGGGTAGTTAGCTAGGTGGTAGTTAGCTATACCCATGCTTTATTACAGGGTTTTAGTTTTGAACAAATTCGACAAAATATCACTTCAAATTTATTACATTTGTGGGTAAAGTCATTATTACATTTGTGGGTGATTCAAAATATCACTTCAAATTTATGACATTTGTGGGTAAAGTCATTATTACATTTGTGGGTGATTCAAAATTATTACATTTGTGGGTAAAGTGGTTATTACATTTGTGGGTGAAATTATTACAATTGTGGGTAAAGTGTTATTACATTTGTGGGTGAAATTATTACAATTGTGGGTAAAGTGTTATTACATTTGTGGGTGTTGTTACATTTGTGGGTAAAGTGTTATTACATTTGTGGGCGTTATTACATTTGTGGGAGTTATTACATTTGTGGGTGTAACAGTCCCCCATGATCCTCTTTTTCTTATGTTAGTTGAGAGCTGAGTTAATGAGATAGCCACTTGTGAGTGACCTCGCTGTGTGGTCTAATCCCTTCTGGCCCAGTAGTATTGACGATCTTTAAGCTAAGAGTGATTCACCCTTCGTTTGTTAAGTTACATTTTAAAATGTACTAATACACAGTATGTAAAAAAAGAAACCGTGATAGATTTATACTACTTCTTATCTAGAACAAGGTTTCATGTTTTACTCTATATCGACCAAATCATTACTTGGCATACACATAATAGAAGCTTCCGTTCCAAGTGTATTTGTTGCGGTGCCACTGACCACTGACGCTACTAGGCAAGCTTGCCCCTGTTCCCCGGGGCGAGAAGAAGAGCGACTGGAAGAAGAAGGGCTTGGATACCCCATTGGCAGGTGGCAGCCCTCCCCCTTGTCCGCATTTGCTTGTACTCCCTGGAATGCAGGTCACTCGATCAACTATAGTATGAACGAAAAACACATTTTAATTGTATAAAAAACGAAATAAAACATGGTGTGAACCCGGTAACATAGTATGGTAATGAATCAGGACGCTTTTTTGTATAACACAGGTAATTTGCATTAACATTTAAATTTGTTGAAAACACATGGGGTTTTTGAACTGCCAATTAGTGTGTAAACCCTGGGAGATGGCGTTTTATCCCTAATTTAAACAGTTTCAATATGAATCAAGATCAGTGCGCTATTTTGTATAACGCAGGTGCTTTGCAATAACATTTAGATTGGTGTTGTTGAAACACGTGGAGTTTTTTAATTGCCAATGGGTTAATTGAATGGGGTCAGACAAATGAAAACATTATGAATATTTTGTAATGCACATTTCGAACATGATAAAAACCTGTATAAAATGACTATAGACTACACGATGAAATCATTTACCACTGCCAGACGGAAATTCAATACGGGTATGGTCGTTGCCGTAATCAGGAATGAACAGAGGTGTATCCACAAGCCAAGGAAGGGATCGTGTAGTGAGACGCGATGGGTTAATGCTGTCATCTGCCTGCATTTTGAAGACAACGTCAGTTTGGACCAGGAAATTATTGTATTTGAGATCAATCATCTCTTTGACTTCGGAAGGGGAGATGATGTCGAGTGTGATTTCGGTGGCGTCTTCGTCGACATAGTTCCAGATGGCTGTTTGGTTGGACCTGCCGTAGCGGGCCCACCCACCGCTTTCAATGTCCATCTCACAAAACACCTGCATGTAAGACAAGATGGGAGATGGTAAAATGTTACCTGTGTGAGGATGGAGCTACATGCATCATACAATTGAAATTTATGAGTTCTGGGGGGGGGGAACACGTGCCCCGACCATCTGGAATCTTGCAGGGGCAATATTGTCATTGCAAAAAGAATGTGCACTTAATCCTGCCCGCAAAAGGAAATTGGACCCCAAAAAAGAAGTTGAATGTTATAACAGATTTTTTTCTTTCGTTCTTGTGGCTGGTGCCCCATACCCATCCACTCCCGTCGTCGAATTAAAACAAAAACATACCTTTCGATAGAGCCCAGCGCTCTCGATGTAGTAGAAGTCACTGGCTGCTTCAGGGCACACATCCTTGACATGTTGGCAGGACAGTGCCGGACTGCTTGGAGTTCCGAAATTATTGCAGCCTTCTGTCGTATGATAAAATTCAAAAAAGGCCGTTGCTAGTTCAATGTAAATGAGGGGAGTAGGACAAAATTATCCAGGATCCGCTCCTAAATTGCTCGAGCAGGTTTTCGTTCCAAGTGTGTAGGCCTAACACATATCTTGATCGGACATCTAAAAAACTAATAAAAGCTAAATCCTTTCTTTTCTCTTTTTCTTCTTCCTCTTCTTCTTCATCATCTTTTCCGTACTTCTCATTCTTCTTTTTTCATTTTTTCCTTCTTCGTTGACTTATTTCCCCCCTCCTCTTCTTTTTTCTTCTTTCCCTTAACATTTGTACCATAACCCATTTTTTACCTGCTGAACCTTGGCATGTAATCGCACCATTGATGTGCAGCTGTGCTTGACCGTATCCCTGGGCACGGATGCTGACAATCAACAGCATGACCAGAGCGATGGAAACAAACGACGCCATTTTGGTCCTAGCAATCAAAGATCAGATGGGAATGTATAGAGAGTTCAGGTTTTCACTTCGAGTAGACTGGATTTGTGATCGACGTACTTATAAGGAATTCAAGCATTTAAAGGTAAAGACCAGTTATGGTCATGCGATTGCATTAATTATGAAAGAAACGTTGTGGAATCGATCAGAAAAGTTGATCATCTAGCATCTAGCATCTGCAAGGTTCTGGAATCATCAAAATGATAAGAAATTTGGCCCATTCTTCGTAAAGTTGCAAGCACTATACACAAAAAAGATGTATATGGGACTACCCTATATCTCTCATAGACCATGAGAGAAACAAATTTACCAAATATATGAATTAGTAGGCGGTTTCCCGGCAAATTTTGTATCATCATGTATTAGTCAAAACATATTCTTTCACATGATTGGTAATGAGAGCTTCCATTTCATTTTTTGAAATTGGGGCGTCTCCAATACTGGTCTTTACCTTTAAACATTTTTTTATCAGTATCACGTACCTAACCCCCGGGTACCTACCAAGCACACCTATTACCCCTGATTACCAAATAGGTGAAGATAATGACCAAGTATATACTTCTGACTGATCGGATAGACATGATAACATACCTCAAGAACATACCTTATACAACTACACCCTGAATTAAACATACAAATGAACTCTCAATTAAAGTTATCCTACAATGCCCACATTCGGGGATAACCCCAGGGTTTAATTGTTTAAAATGTTTTAAGCTATCAACCTCTTCCCCTCGTGATGGCACCTTAATTTCAAAGATATAACTCATGATTGTTAGCGGTGTTGAAAACGGCTCCTACGGACCTACATGAACTCGTGTATTCACAAATTACCATATTTTTGGAAGAAAAAAACAGCTAGGCCAACATACCAAGGTCACGTAACTTTAACCCACTCACTCAGTTATCCTGATATTTGTTAAATATTGGTTAATTGTATATCAGTAAATAAATCACAATAAACATTTCTTATGTATTTCAAGAGCTACTATTAAAGAGACAAAAAAAAAATCAGCGTTTGGCTCGTGAGCAAACATTTGTAGCATCGCCAAGATAAACCACACGCGAATGCATGGAATGAAATCAAACTTACCACAACTTACCCTTTCAATAACGATTCAAACGGCTTACATGCACAGTAATGGAGTTTTCTGCAGTGAGATTTATGTTGCCTGGCCGAACTTTCAATGTCTCTAGAAATGTCTGTTCCTTTGTCTTATAACTAACCAGAGCACTTCATCATGACCACGCCCTCTTTTACTGTTCTGTTTTATTAGAAAGAATAGTTAAGCCTCATGTTCGTGTGCAAAGTAATTTATATTCAGTTTATTTTACCAAGGTCAAGGATCTCTGGTCTTACCTTGACCACGCCTACCTATCAAATAATTACAGAGAGAGAGGAGGCATTCAGCCATGGTCCGTGTGCAAATAAAAATAAAACTAGTTTGTTTCACCCGTTCGTGCATTGTAGCTGTCTAGATTGCCTTAGCGTGACTACGCCCACATGTCAATTCATAGTAGAGAGAGAACAGTCACGCAGTTATGGGTCCGTGTGCAAAAAAATGAAGAAATAAATATATCTTGCCATATCTCCAATTCGATTTATTGCTTTGTCATGATCACGCTTTCTTGTGTGACCTGAAAACGGGGTGTGCACCCCTTATTTTTCAAGGGGTGTCGAATTGTAAACTGTCATTGAATATTGGAATGAAAAGAAGAAATGAACAATATGAGAATGTTCTATATGGATGATGCTCTATTAAGACGCTCTAGATTTCTAAAAATACCCCCCCCCCCCCCCAAAAAAAACAAAAACAAAACAAAAACAAAAACAAAAACAAAAAACAAAAAACCCGAAATAATAATAAAAATACTAAATACAAAACATTGGTGGCTAATTTTCATGTTTCAATTTCATTTATTTATTTCCACACATCTCAAACAATTTTAACACGCTAAGTGCACATTATACAATTGAAAACACAAGTATCAATGTCACAGATTGTAACATCTTAATAACTATTACACAATATAGCCTGTATCGTCAAATGATGAAAGAGAAAACAAAATATTCTTGTTTGTTTCAAGCTGAAGAGAGAGTGTGTGGGGGGACCCATCAGAGAAGCGAAGCTTGTATTACTATAGGTCCCCTTGAATAACTTAATTACAAACATACAAGAAAGTGAGACGGAAGAAAAGAGAGAGAAAGGGAAAGAATGAGGACGGGAGCAACATGAGGATGATGTGCAATTAGAAGGAAAAAAGGGAGGCTTCAAATAGGATTATAGAAAGAAAAAGAGATAGATAGGGAGAAAAAAATTGGAGAGGATACTAAGAGAGAATAAAGATTAAGAAGGGAACGGGAGAGAATCACAAACTATCACATCAATGGAAACCTTTCAGGTAAAACAAGCTACATCATATTACGTGAATATCACAAATATATACAAATAGCATTTCCAACATTAGCTCACTTTATATTGTTTAAAAAAAAACTTTTTTAAGGGAAGTCTATATGAATACAATGTAGAAGCATTTTTCTGAGTAGGTTCAAGTGAATTCCGAAATGCGGGTCCACTGTACGTAAAGGTAATAACTGCTGATACTGTTCCTACACGCTGTAAATGATAGAGATTTGACTGTCTTGTAGGATATGTATGATAATGTTTATATTTGGAAAACATAGTACTAAATATTTGTGGTAAATCTTTTGTATCCAGTTAAAACATAAATTGACCAAGGTGAAGGAAATATAAATCAAAAACCTTCAGAATAACTTGTCATAAAATAATTTGTCAGTATGAGCAAAGAATCGAGCGTCGCTTATAATTCGAAGTGCCTTTTTGCAATAAATGAATTCTGTCAATTTGTGTTTTTGAGGAATTTCCCCATCCAATAATTCCATAGTTTAGATTAAAGGGTACAGTTGTAGAGTGAAGCATTATCAGAATGTTCGATAGAATATAATATTCCATTTCATTGATTATTCCAATATTTCTTAGAAATCAATTTTCTCAAATTGTGAATATGAATCGTCCGAGAAAGTTTATTGTCAGTAACAAGGCCTAAGCATCGCGTAAAAGACACTTTCAATATTGTTACATTAACAAAGATTATGTCACCAGGAAGGTAAAATTTCACCAACAAATTCCCTAAAATTAGTGGTTTTGAAATTCAATGAGAGTTTATTTGCTTGAATCCAGTGTGTCACTTTTTTCAATTCATCATTTAACGTAATTATCAACTCAGTAGCGTTTTTATTACTCAGAAAAATGTTTGAGTCATCTGCAAACAAGATGAGCTAAAGAATATCTGAAGATCGATGGAAATCATTGATACAGACTATGAACAAAATGGGCCCGAGAATCGACCCTTGGGGTACCCCACTTAAAATAGACTTTTTAAAAGATATTATTCAATGACACTTTTCGAAAGGGAGGCAAAAACAATAGGAGAACGTTGTACATGGATGATATGCTCTATAATAATGCTTTAGTTTCCAAAAAAACTACACACAAACACACACACGCGCACACTCACGCACACACACACAAACAAAATGATATTGGCGGCTTCTTTTACAGTCCTCATATAGCTCTCGGCCCTCCAATAAATATTACCCCATTTATAGCCGAAAGAAAGATGAGTTCTTATTTTATAATTATTTGAAATCGAACTTACTATAAAAAGTGTCTAATTTATTATTATTTTTTGCTTGTTTACTGAGTGTATTGGATCATTCCATTCCCGTGGCCCCACTTTAACACCCCCTTTGTCTTTATCATTTTCCTGCAATTATCAAGAACATACCAAAACTGCAGTCTAGAATTTAAAAGAAATGCGATATTATAGATGTATCAAGGAAAACCTCATAGTTCCTTCAGTCAATGTTACAGTTGGATAGAATATTGTCATGTTAGAGGATTTCATCACCAGAAATAATCTATTAGAAGATTTTTTTAGTTTTTGTTAATTGTTTGCAATAGCTTCAATATTTCAAAATGCATCTAGATGGGTATATTCAAGGGAACAGGAAGATTCTTTACAAGTTCGAGTTGATAACCTTGGTGTTTTTTTGAAAAGTTTATGACAATACATCGGCTGTGTACGACCCTGTGTTCTGATTTCCATGCAGTATTTCCAAGTACCATATAGGTTAAAATGCAGGTAGGCTGTTTTGTATCATATCCTGGTCGTTCTATCATTCAAAAAAGAAAATCTGATTATCTTTATACACTGTATTTTCTCTATTTTTGTTAATGATATGGCCATCTCCCGTTACCATTTCCAGGGGTTATGAGGGGTTAACTGTTAACTTTAAAGGGACAATTCAAAATTGACGCGAACTTGCTAGAGAATAGCTTTTGGCTGAAGCAAGTGTTTCCGTGTTGAAATAAGAGAATAACTAAAGGGAACGAAAATGACTAAAGAAGCTCTCGGATTGACACTTTAGCTCAAAGGGATGAACATCTTTTGAGCTAATTTGTGTATAAAATCTGAAAATTAATGATATTAATTATGGGGATTAGGCGTATCAGTGCTTTTAAGTACGGTTATTCTTAAATGGCAGCTTCCCTATGTTTCTACAACCAATTCGTTTACTACCCAATACGCTTATTCCCATATGGTCTACACCCAGCCAGTTTACTATCTACATGGTCTGATAATCATTTTGTAAACTCATCATTTGGTTTAATGACCATTTAGACTAATAATCATTTGGTCTATTGTTCATTAAGTCCAATTGTCAGTCGGTCTAATTACCAGTTTGTCTAATGCCCATTTTGTCTACTCTCCATTTGGTCTAATAATAATTTAATAATACATGATAATAATATTCAATTGATTGTGGAATATTGTTTGTGAGTTGGAGGTTTCGTAAACCTACGACTCGAAGATCGTCCCGTGTGAATATTGTTGTCACTATCTCTCCTCCCACGAATGCGCAAAAACGATGTCTTCTGTATACAGTCATGCTAGTAGCATCATTATGGCGTAGACTATGAGGAACATGGGTAATCTAATCAACAAGCCACAACGTACACAACATTACCAAACATAAGATCGTCAGTATTCAGTTTTTAGTATAGGTTTAACGAACGGTTTAGCAGACCAATTTTATTTTTAAAAAACACCAAACATCTACTTAAACATATTCATATACATATTATACAGGAAATAAGGCAATTAATGTACACTATCAAGAACAGACGTACTAAATTGAATTTCATACCGTTTAAGATGTCATTGTTTCCATGATGGTTCGCCTAAAAAAGGGACATATATTAATAGAGGCGGTAACAGGAGGGATTGGAACGGCCGCACCCCACACCACCACCACAACCATCAGAGATCCATAAAGCTTGCTGCAGACTTTACTTTGAATTGAAAAAGCCAAGTAGAATTGATAATAAATAGTAATTTCATGTATTTTACACAAGTTCGAATTCGTAAAATGATGTAAAGACGTAAAGACTCCATCAGTGGCACTTAATACTTCCTTTAAAACAATTAAGTACTAGTTTTAAATATTATTGCATTTTATGTCTAAGGAGCACTGTCATTTACAGATGTCAATAATACACTTAACATTATACATGTACAAGGATCACACGTAAGAACAAGTATCGTTGAAACAAATATCCTAGCATTTGTATGGGTCTATATCTCTTACCGTTCTTAGTCATTGCAGGGGCGGATCTTTTGCCGGGGGGGGGGGTGGGGGTTGACCAAAAAAAAAATCAAAAAATCGCGCCGTTTTACTGTTTTCCTTTTTTCCTTTTTCACTTGGCCGCCCAAGGGGGGGGGGGTAAACCGCCCAAACGCTCCCCCCCCCCTCCTAGATCCGCCCCTGCATTGTACACCATTGAGATAAGGTTGAGTTTTGGGAAAGGTCAGGTGAACAAGAATTTGTGATCGTTTCCCTTCTTATACATATAAGTGTGGAAGAGCATCATAAAAGTAATGTCCCCTGAAAAGGATGGCTCTTCAAAACCCCCATATCCGAAATATAACAAATAACATTTAAAAGTTGTGAACCACACTTCATGCCACATGTTTGTCTAGTCCTATATACATATTTCTGTGTACAGTGGATGTGACCTTTAGCAAGAATTGGACATATTTGAAAAAACATTTTGTCGATTCCAAAACCTCACAGTATACACTCATACTTACGTGCTACATGATCAACTTTTCCAATTGCTTCCATACAGTTTCTTCCATGATGCAATCGCATGACAAGAATCAAATTTTACCTCTAAAAATTGCTCTTCATATTATTTTCATGTATTTATTGTAAAGTTTAAAATGAATGCATGTTCCTATTTTTATCTCAATTGAATATAGAAGTATCCTTCCTGGCAATTACTCATCTGTTTGTCTGCTTTAAAAAAAATCTTACAATCTAATTTTCGTAACTACTTTCAATAACAATTGACATTTTATGTTTGGTAAAACGTTTTTTTTTTTTTTTTTAATATAATATATAATTATTTATTTATAATTAAACGAGAAATAAATACATGCAGAGTACGATTTCTTTAATTTCAAGCTGTATACTCAACAAAATGGAAAACACGATAATTCATTTAAACACAATGGCCCGTTATCCATCTAACCATCGAATTTCTTTTGAAATAATATTATGTACGCATAGTTTAGCCAACTTGGTTTCAGCAGGTCACAATGTGACGTCTATTCCTTTGTATTGTATTTTCCCCAAGTAAAGCATATTGTGCCCAATACCACTTGAACCGGGTTAGCTAAACTCTTCTAAAAGCATGGCACTGCTCCAGCTTGATAAACGATGAATCCATGATCGGATAGCCGGATATTAAACCAGACACAGCTTCGGAAAACCGATTATACAGGCCATTGTTTGAAAAACAACGAATAGCGCTATTGAGCCCTCAAGGTTTAATGCGAGGCATTGTGTACGCAAAGCATGGGGGAAATTTGAAAAGCGAACCAAATGTCGATATAAGTTTTATTTACATAACGCTGTGGGTCAATTATCTTCAAAATCCCTGAAGAATTAGTCATGTAAATAAACCTTTCAAATGGCAGAAATATGAAATGAATATTTTCACATTATTTTTTTAAAATACATATTAACAGCGGTTGACTTTGGAATATTTTCCCCATGCCTATTGTACATGATATCACGCATTTGATAAATGATAACCACAATTAAACAATCATTGCTTTTTTAGTGGACTTTTTTAGTGGACCCTTCTGTTTGCAATTTGTATTCCTCAATTGTTGTAAATGATTATAATTGATTTGTAAAATAAAAAAAATTGATAAAAAATTGAATTGAAAACAATTGAAATGAATAAAAGTACTATATTCACTGTGCGTCATTCGCTGTGTTTGAAGTATTTTCCCAGATTCAAATGATCAGTTCCAAGTCTAAACACGATGCAGACATAAGTTGGGTTCAATCCCAAAATACAAACAAATATGTAGAGCGTTGAAAAAATTGATAACACAAAATTACAAACGATAAATATGCAGACGAAAGTTGATTGTTGATAAATTTAAGTTCACATAGGACGACTCGAAAACTTCAACAAAAATTGTTTCAAATTGGAGAGTAACGCAATTTCAGCCTGCCTGCAATCTCAAAAAACAGATGTATCACTGCAAAGCTGAATGTCTTAGGGCAATTCACATTCAATCTCGGAATACAAGTAATTTTTAAAAAATGAATAAAGCTCATAATTGTTAATAAATTATGATAGCATTAGGCAAAGACACACAAAACCAAAACATGAAGAAATGATGTAACATATATGGCAATGAAATGGAAATGTTCTTATCTGTATTACAATACGAGCAAGAATAGTACACAAACTAGGCAAAACATTTCCTGAAAATCCAGCTTGTATATACGGTGTTTCTTTGAAACCATCACAGGCTGTTCTCCTGGATTGTGTTGCAAAATGTACCGTTATGTCAAATTCTAGGCAAGATAGTCACACATGTGTGTATTTAGGCACGTTTTAGGACGTAGGCCTATTCTTGAGTCTCTACTCTTCTTCCTATTTAGTTTTTGTACTGCGTCAGCATCTACTAATTTATGAATTTCAGCTTTCTTCGTCGTCACGATAGTAGCCATAGTTGATGATGTCACTTCCGTTGACCTTTGACACGCTTCTTGACCCCGCGTTACCAATGTCACCGATTTCGACCTCAGGACAGGACGTACGTTCGCGCTGAGGGGAATCCTTACCCAGAAGCCAATGCGTAAACATGTTACCTTTTCCCTGTGTAGGATATGTAAGCAATCAGGAAGAACAATGTCAAAATATTTGTTTAAAAAACACTTAAAGAACAATCACAAGAAGAAAAAGAAGATGAAGAACAAAGTAGAAGAAAAGAAGAAGAAACAAGAAGAAGAAGTAGATGAAGAGGGAAAATAAGAAGAAAAATATAAACAACAACAAAAAATAGAACATCTACAACATTTTTGAACTGGTGAGTTGATTTAGCAAAACGGTCAACTATTATATTTGCGTCCAGAACCTTCTATGTACAGAATTTTGCCAACTTGTATTTTCTTGGTCACAACATAGCGTGTATCATTCTGGTTCAGCTCAGTATTCGCCACGTTTTGCCCAACTCGAACCGGGTCGGTCAAACTCTCCTGTAATCCATGGTGCTTGCTGAGTCAAGTCTTTGGGATGGTTACGTTAAAGTTCGGTCCCAAGACCTCACCAATCAAGAGGTAAATGCGTGATTGAACGGAGGACTCTTTCTTTGGTCTAAAACGGGGCCCCGGTCTGTCAGAAACCCAATACTCACCTACACGCACACGCACACGTCCACACATGCACAAATCGCGAAACATAAACCCATTAACTAAACACTGTGCAGTGTGTTGCAATGTCATGGATATACTGCTAACTTTAATATTAAGTTTCATATTAAACAGAATTATAAGTGAACCGGAAGTACTTACCTTGACCTCTATGATACCTCTGGGTTCGGTCTGAAAGCCTCCGATAGTATCCAGGACTGATTTAAAATCATCACTGATGTGGATTTTCATTGCTAGCAACAAATCAAATACAAAAGGTCAATGATAAACAGCTTTTTTCTTATCATAATGGTTTCTTTAAAACTGTAAACACAGATATAGAGAAATCCAACAGCCTGATCACTTCCCGGTTTAATACACAACCTTTCGTGAATTATTAAGCTTTAATTCGCGAAGGGTCTGGTCTAACGCGTATGATATACGCCCCACTTATCGCCTCAATGTCGGGTCCGGTTTCCTCGACACTTTCTGAAAAAACCTATAGCAAATAAACGATAACATTTTGATTCGAGATAATTTTGTTCACATAACAAGGCCAGCGATCAACACTTCGTCATTGCCTCAATGTGTTCGCTTGTTTTCACAAATAAACACGTAGTAAATTTAGCCCTTTCTCAATGATTGTCTCGAAGAAAAAAATATATTAGTTTACCCGACCATTCGTGAATATAGGGCAATCGTTTAGCTAGGCAACGTATAGTATCCGACCTAAGGGGAATATGGTATGTTTTCGTTTACGTGCAACCCGACAACCCGACACGACGCAGAGACCCGATGGAGCTAAGTAAGCCATCGGATGGGTATGTTTCAGTTTACTCACGATAACTATTAGACTCCATCCTGGAGGCTGTGTTGACCGTATCTCCAAACAGGCAATATCTAGGCATCTTTGATCCCACAACACCGGCAGCACACGGACCTGTTAGAGAGGTTGAAATGTTGATTTCGATTTGATATGATTTGATTTAATTTGATTCGATTTGATTTGATTAGATTTAATATGAGATGAATTTATTTGGCTAGATTTAACTAGATTTGATGTCATTTTATTTCAATCAATATGTTTGGATTGATTTGATTCGATATCGTTTTATTTTGTTTGATTGTATTTGATTCACTTCATTTGATTAAATAACCCTCACGGAATCATTGGCTATTAAAGTTTGGGTTAATAGTTTATATTCCAAGAAATTAAATGTGCGTACACGATTTATTTCATTTGATTATACATAATTGAATCAATATCTTAATCTTTAAAGCCAAAACTGAATTGAAATTTTGATACATTAAATGAAATGCAAAATACTCAGACCAGATGGTAAAATGTGAATAAATCATCAATCAACGTAATAATCAAAGATAGAAAAATATTGAATGAAGAAAAATAATTAAATACGAATGCCTTCGATGATATCATCAGTAGTACAGGGAGGAGTAATAGAGGCAAGAGGATACACGATTCAGTATTAAAGCATGCAATATAGTTAAAACAAAATCCAATTTAGTGGGATTTAATTGATTAACAGTATTTACTGAGCCTCTCTGTACCGTCGCTCCTATACAACACGTGTAATTTCCTTCCACAAAACAATTAACGTACTGATTGCTCTCTGCGACAAACTGGCTTTGCGAAATTGATTAGCTCCATGACAAGCCTTCCAACGTCGGTATATATTATTCTTGCAATGGAAACAGCTAAATAATGTTAAAGACTTTGGCATATCTTTCCCATGATGAATACAATGTGGCAAAGGGAGATTATTTATGTGGCACATAAGAATCAAAGTACACGTTTTTTTTGGGGGGGGGGGTTGCAACCCTAAGCCCCTAAAGGCACAAAGGTCTAGGATACCTCACGAAGTTCTTACCCGTGTGAGCACCGATCCTCATCAGTACTCTCTCAGATTTGAGATGCGGTAATCTGAAGGTCTGTACCCCTTCGATCATGTCGAGAGCCAGCGAGGCGATCTCGAAAGCATGTCGATCACCGTTTCGTATGGGAACACCGCTGACGACCATGTAAGCGTCGCCGATGGTCTCGACTTTGTAGACGTCGTATTTTTCAATGCAGGAGTCGAAGAACTGGTAGAGAAGATTGAGAAATCCCACGACCTATAATGCATAAAAAAGGGAGAAGGAGTGGATAACATTTTGATACTGTTGTCCTAGCTCCCTATTGGATACAAGGATTAATAGTAGTAGTAGTACTAGTAGTAGTAGTAGTAGTAGTAGTAGTAGTAGTAGTAGTAGTAGTAGGCTTCAGTTGGTGACCTGAAACTTTTAAGTCCCATTTGAATATTAAAATGATTTTTTTTTTTCTTCATGAGAGTGAACGACCCTATGTTTTTATCTACATGAAGTATTGTTATTGTCATTGTTATTCTGATCAGTAATAGTAGTAGTAATAGCGGTAGTATAAGTGGTATTATCATTATCATTATAATCATTATTTTTATTAACACTAGTATTACTTTCATTATTATCATTATTATAATTATAATCATTATTATTATAATAATCATTATTACTATTATCATTGTTATTTTAAATTTGGTGTGTGATCTGTCGTAATGCAGGAAGCATATAAAATAACCCGCTTTGGAACGGCTTATCCAACATTACAAGAACAGAGTCTATGCTTGGCGGTACAAATCATACAAGAAAGCTTAATTGAAAGGCTCGCCTGATGGCTTTTGTGAAGAAATATCCATGCATTCATAAATTATAATCCCTTTCGTATTTTCATTCCGTCATTTATACTATTTCTATCACCGTCGGGCTATTACTTTACTTTCCTTTTTTTTAAATCCTACTTCTCCCCCTCTTCTCTCTTTAGTTCTCGTCCTATTTTGCATTCCCCCGTTTTCATTCTTTTATTTCACCTCTTTCGTAATTCCCGTCTCTTATTTTTCCTTTTCTATTCTTCTCTTCCATTATTACATTATTTTTCTTCTCTTCTGTCCTAACTAATTATCCAAAATCCTGTTCTCTAATTCCCTTGCATTCTTTCAAATTCTCCATCTCTCACCTTCTCTTTCCTATTTCCCATTCTTATTCTTTATCTTCTTTTATTAATTGTACTCTCCTACACATTAGAGCGGTGGTGACGTTTTTCCATTAACCTAATTCTCCCTCTTTCTCTCTCTCTCTCTCTCTCTCTTCCTTTCTCTCTCTCTCTCTCTCTCTCTCTCTTGTGTGCGAATAATTTGGGCTCGGCACGTATGAACACGATTCATGTGAAATACAATATACTTTGATTATTGCTTGATGTAATCATGTGAAGGGCATGGGTGTCATATATGTTATACTCTATCGCACCTGCAACTACATTATGTCTAGCCATATTATTAGTACCACATACATGACAAATACTTGTATGCATTGTCGTGAATCGAAAACTGAGATATAGCCACGAATATTACCGAAGATTTATTTAACACTTTCACGCCTCCGTTTTGCAATGTCTTAGACTTTTGATAGACTCTTTTATTTCGTTTTATTCTTTTGTTTGCATAGCGTGCAGGGAGTTGAACCAATTTCTTTTCAAAGCACAATTTTGTCAGATGGTAGGCGGTTTTATATAGTGTCACCCACTTTCTGACGCTTAAAAGGCATTGACTGATGAAAATGCACTCAATCCCCAAGAATAGGGATTTTAGATCGATACAAAGTCCCCAGTAAACAGCTCGACTTCCTAATATTTTGACAAACATGACGTTCAGGGGCGATGATTTCTTCTCAAGAATGGTAATATTCAAGAGCCACATGCAGCCTTTTCACACACGAGTAAAAGCGCTTTAAACTAATCAGCTTTACATACGACATCATTTACACACAGAAATTTCGGTGTGGTCGTTAATCGTTTCGCGATTAACTACTGCTCTGAAAATGCGCAGTAGTGCCATTGCGCATTGAAGGTCATGTCATATCAAACAAAGCGCACGCTCCATCCAGTTTAAACACGTATAACCGTTCACACACAAAATGTCAAGCCCTCTAGATTCGAACTTCGTATCTGTAGCCTGCTTTGAGGGGCGTATGAATCTCGACTTCGTATCTATCCGAACATCGTATAAACGATGTTCACACAGGGAAATTTTTCTTTAAAGCTGTTTAAAACTGTTGAGTTGAACAGCTTTAAACTAATCAGCTCTAGAAACGATGAATTTTAGCTCTGTGTAAAAAGGCTGCAAGTCTGGTAGGGCCCTTTTTATACTTTTCTTTTTCTTTTTTAAGTTTCATGAACGGTGACAGGCAAGAAAGCGTATACATTGCGGCAAGGAGTAGGCTATATATTTACTCTTTCTCTGCTTTTCTTCTCTATTCTTTCTTTGTTTTTCTATCTTTTTTATTTTTCTCTCTTTCTTTCTTTCGTTTTCCTTTTATTTATTTTTTTGCGTCATGACCGGGGACATTAAAGGAAACTTCAAGCATGAAAGCCGAAAGGGTCTAGGACTGCTTTTTTTTCTTTCCTCTCTGTTTTTCTTTCTTTCTTTCGTAAGGTTGGTTCTTTTGTCTTAAGCTGGAAAAAGTATCGCTTCCGAATTATAAAATATATTTCCCCGTTCATTTGCGCTCTCTGTCTTGTTCTCTCTCGCTCTATCTCTCCCTCTCTCTCTCTCTCTATAAATATATATATACATATGTATATATATATGTATATATATATATATATATATATATATATATATATATATATATTTCTTTCTCTATCTCTCTCCCCCCCCCCCCCTCTCTCTCTCTCTCTTTCTGTCTTTCTCCTTATCTTTTTATCTGTTATTTCTATATATATTTTCTTTCTCTTCATGCTTTATAAAATCATGTATCCATGTCCTTTTTTCTATATTTCTCTCTCTGCTCTTAAATTCTTTCTCTCTTTCTCTTTTTCCTCTCTCGTCTTTCCTGACCTCTACACCAATTGCATTCATAACCTATACAATTTTTTTTACATTTTTCACATCTTTCCTTCAGCTTATTAAGTAATCGTCGAAAAAGCTAGTCTGAACTTCATTTGCGCAAGGAAGTAATGACTTATTTAAGATTCATCACTAATGCACACACCCACACAAAAGAAAAAAAGCAGATAAGTGACCTTTCATATTTTTTTTAATACATATTGATATGTTCGTGACCTTGGAATGTAATTATAGTTTATATACTTATATGACGATGGATAATGTGATGAAAGACGATATCAAAATGAAAGCAAAGACGAGTTGAATAAACAGTCATTAGTATTGTGCTAATCGATAGATCCTACTTTAGACCGTATATCTTTTTGTACATTGCTGGTTTAAAACTGTTAGATATAATAGCACAAACACTTAATTTGTATGTCAAATTCAGTTATTGTTATGATGTTTAGAATAAATCTAATTGAGTATATAACAAAATTTTGCTATGGAAAGTTGGTTTTCGTTTGAAAATACTGCACTGTATAAATATAAGGCGTTGTTTATGTGTAGGCGCATGTGGGTGCGTGTGTGTGTGTGTGTGTGTGATTCGTGTGAAAAAGAGAAATTTTGTTCTAATGATGTACTGTTAAAATAAATCTAAGTGTGTATATAACAAAAGGTTGCTCGGTAAAGTTGGGTATCGTTTGAAAAGACTGCACTGTATAAATAGAAGACGTTGTGTGGGCGCGTGTGGGTGTTTGTGTGCGTGCGTGCGTGTGTGTGTGTGTGTGTGTTCACCCACCAAACACTGTAATTGATTACGGTAACGTACCCTAAATAATTATGGCAACACTAAATATTGTTTTTGTAAAGGAACCACCCTTCCAGATCATTACATTTTCAATTAAGCATACCCCAGCGATGGCTAGCGATTTGACTAAAACGTGGTTATTACACGTCCTGGGATAAATGATCAATTTCATTTGTATGTGAAAATGATAATGTATACCTTTGATAAAATTGGCGCCTGTTTTCACTGTTATACCCGATTTACTTGTATTTTAAACACATTAAGAAATAAGGGTGCGATTGGGGTGCAGATTTGCATTCACCTATACGCGTATTTTGAAGAGGATGCTGCTATTGTAGCAGAATTGCAACCTTATTTCTTGTGTGTATGCACCTGTGTCTTAAACAAAAGCCTAACAACCACATGTGGCCCACGTGACGATGTGCTGCGGACAGCTAGAATATTGTTTTTTTAGTTGTTTTTTTTTAAATAAATTGTTTGCTATGAGGATGGTTTATGTATATGATATATATGGCTTTTCACTAGCGTAATGAGCCCAACATGTTGAGGGTTTGAGACAGTGCCAGGAACGCAGTATATTTAACTCGGGTATATCGATCCGTTGAATATGTGGTTTTCGGCCTACACCCCCACCTCCCTCGAAATAATTTGTTTGCATAATTGCTGTGTAAACATTCGCATAACAGCAACGCCCTTGATGTGTTATTGTTTTAATGGTATAGTTGCTTAGCGACAGAGCTACAAATTCTACGGTTTTCCATTTTTTAACTTTGCATTTTAGAGCGCTTTTGATCACACAGGCAAAGCAAAGAATGAACTTAATCAACATCTACCCTTTCATTCTTTCACTTTTAAGCAAAATAGGTAACATTGTATCATCAGGCAAATTTCGAAAGCTTTCCTTTTCCGGGGCAATTTTTCATGAGAAAGTGAAATTATTTTATGTGAGGGAGTAGATCGACAGGGCGAGGGGAATTTTCAAATTAAGTAGTGAAAAAATTGCATTGTATAGTATACTTCGGAATAATTTATCTCTTTGTTTTAATTCCCTTTTTTCTTCCCTTTTCCTCATGATTTGTTGTCCTTTGGTGCATTGAAAATCGGGGCATCCCAAACCCCCCCCCCCCCCCCCCACCAATGCACCATATGGAAACGTTGTATCATCCGCTCAATCTGACTTGCGTGCATAGAACAAATAAGCATTTTTCCATGAAAAAGTAAAGTTTTCTAAAATGTGCGTTTCTTTCCAGCATTGGGGCGCCCGGAAATCACTCGGGTAACATTTCATAAAGTATAATATAAAAATACCATATGCAAATTTTCTGTACTTTTGTCGGAAAAAATACATTTATCCAGCACAATGTCGTCTCTTTTTGCGTTGGAGAAGAGCAAATAGTGAGTTTCAA